TAAACTTTATTTAATAGAGAGGAAAGGTCTACAGATTTGGATAATTTGCCTTGGAAGCATAAGGGCTTAAGCTGATACTTTGAACCTCTGTGAGAAAATGCAGTGTTTATAATATCTGCATCACATGATGTAATGTAATGATCGATTTCTAATGGGGAAGCAGCATAAAAACACTGCTATCAGAGGAAGTAACCATTATTTTATGCTTTAAAAAAGAAGATGCTACCTTCTCAATATCAAAGTCTGGGATGAGAGAGCTTTAGTTCTAAAACGCCTGAATGTATTTGGACTTTGCATGACAAATCCTGTGGTCAGGCATGGTGGCACACTGTTCTCAAGGTAAAATGTCGATGACACAATATTTGCTACTTGGGGTTTTAACAGCTCAGAAAACATTCTTGGAGGGTAACAAGATTTTCTGGAAATGAGCCACTTTTGAATGCTATTGCCAGCACGTCTGCCTACTCTGGGTAGCTTCAGAAACTCTGCTGAAAAATTAAACAAACACAGTTCTTGGCATCTAAACAGATGGGAAAGGACATGTTGACTCCCAGATCTTTAGCTGAGGAGGTAGTCTGTTTCTCATTGTTACCACTGTGCACTGAGGAATTGCAAAACACCCACATGGATTTTCAGACCTGCTAGCTGCACTTAACCTTTAATCCTGCAAGTACTCAGCCATGAGCATATAATTTTAAATGTCTGAGTAGTCCAACTGACTCCAATGGGAATAAACACTGAATGAAGTTAAACATTTGCATAAGTGTTTTTAGGATCAGGATCTTTCACTACTAACACAATTCTAGCACTACAAACACAAACTCAGCTTGGGCTGAGTACTCAACTCAAGCTCTCAAGACATTAGTAGACCTATATCCTCTACAGATGCATTTTAAATTTCATGTTAATGTGTGATTTCTGCTATAAAACACCTTACATTAGGCTAATAAGTAACCTTTCTCATGAGAGAGGAGAAATGATTTAACTTATAACTGCATAGGTTTGAAAGAATGTAATCTGAACTGGGTCAGCAACATATCAGCTTCCATGTATCAAGAGGTTCAGGTATCTTAATCGCTTTTTTGGCCTTTTTTTTAAAGTTTCCAAAACCTGTTTTCTGTGTTTTAGGCCTGATCTGAAAATCTCCCTTCCTGTCTTTCCAAGGACAAGATTGCTTGCAAGGACGAGATTGAGTAAGAGACTGACTCACTTATTCCTAAAGGTGAGGACTGCTTTCCACTGACACTGCTGAAGGGTTTGTTCACCTCTGACTAAATCATATAACTCCAGAAAAGAATAACTCAGTCTCTGAGTTAGACTCTGGTCATGGTTGCAGCTGGTTTTGTAGCCTCCCTCATCTAAGTTCAGTGAAATTCCCTCTGGTTTACACCCTAGCTAACTAGATCAGAATTTGATCCCTCAAATCTAGGTGTCTGCATTACAGATCAAAGGCAAAGTTTTGATGATTCCTTCTGCAAATTTCACTCCTATTTGTACTCTCACATGCTTGATCTCTCTTTTGTTTAAAGGGATGTGGTTGATACAGAAGCATTTATATTCTGTGAATCATTCTAGCAATGCTGTTCTTAAAAATATGTTAATATTTTCTTTTGAAATGCATTGGAAAAATAATTAAAAAATATCTTACAATTTTCTTGAATTCTTTCCTTTAATGAAGTGGTTTTTTTCCCAGTTTGTCTTTGCTGACTAAACACATTAGGACTTTTGAGATAAAGAGGTATGTGTATGCAAATACATTGCAATAGAACAGGCAGCTTTTCCTAGAGTTAAATCGATGTAACATTTTCCATTCTAAACCCCTGTGTTTTCTGTGGTTTCTGAAATATAAATGATTCAGGATGAAATCTGCCAGATTGGGACTTTGTCCAAATGTGAACATTTTGGAAAGACTTGAACAAAACTGGTTCAGCCAGTTCATAATATCAAGAGAGTGGGGAAAAAAAAAAGGCAGCATTTCTTGAGCTAAATGGATTCTTACAGCCTTTTTTGAGCATTTCTGTAACTTTATCAGCAGAAGGCTGAAAAACGAACTCTGACATGGAAGTAGCCTTCCTTGAAGTAGGCATGTATTTACTTGTTTGAGAAGAAATTAGTTTTGATTTGCCTAAGTTATAAACCTTTGAAAACTGTGGTTGAGCATGTGCAATGGATTATTTCAATAAGCTTGTGAAGTGTGCAGCTACAGAAGGATTTTCTGCACATGCATGGCTGGTTAATTTTGCTGGAAAGGGAAAAATCTATCCAAGCATATTGCTGAAATCAGTGAAAATACCTACAGCTGCATGGAGACCTTTGAAGACCATCCCAAGGTCTTTAAGATTATGAAAAGGGTAAGAAAAGTTCCTGTAGGCTTTGCAGGGTGTTTAAAGGGTAAGTAGACTGCAGATTTTGTGAAGTTAAATGGGATTATGGCTTCAGAATTGAGCACTTAGCAGATGAAAGTATATGATGTTTTCTGGGGGGAAGTATGTCATGCAAAGCACCCTTTCCCTCAGCAGATATGCCCAGCGAAGGAATCCTCCAACGGCAGGGAAGCTGCTTCTCCATCTCATGTCTAGCTGATTGTAGAGCTTAAATGGCAGGAGTTTATCAGGATGTTCACAAGCTTGGGCTGCTGAGAGTGCTCTGAATTATATAGAAATATTGCTAATTAAAATTGAGCTTTGGAGTGGGGTGTGTGTATGTGTATGTGTGTGTGTGTCTTTTTAGATGCAGGCACAGTCGATGCTTTTGCAGGAACTGCTCTCGCTTGCATCAAACACACTTTGGATAAACCAAAAACTCTCATTCAGAACATCTGTGTGTCTCCTGGCAGCCCATATTCTCCAGCATACCTCACTTCAAATAGATGCTAGTTATTTGATTCCAAAACTTCTATTTTGCCCAAGTTGGGTGTCCATCTCCAAATCCCTCCAAAACCAAAGTCATAATGCTGAGTTTATTGAAAGAGTCATTTGCTCTGAAGAAAGAGATCTCTTTATTTTACAGTCCCTGAATGGACACTTATTTGGGATTTCTTCCTTTCTCTTTTCACCCTGCTATCTCTCCATCAGTGCTCTGGCAGGTGGAAAGGTATGCAGTTATTCACTGAAATCTTTGCATGCCAGACAACTTTTGCCCAGGCAGTGCCAACATTGACACAAATCACCTTCTTGATGAGACTGTCAGTGGACTGACTGTGCTTGTTGAGCAGGTGAACTTTTGATGTCATTTCTTTTGGCTGTTGGATCTTTTCCTGCTTATGCAACAGAATTTATGCCAGGCCCCCTGGCCACATCCTGATACAGCTTGGTGAGCAGTATGCTACGGAGGCTCTGTAGCCACTGGTGTGGCTGGACTGGCAGAGGTCTGACATCAATACAGACAGAAGGAGGACAGAAATGTGGTGTACAGTCAGAATATGAGGCAGCAAAACAGCCTACTGATAAAGCAAGGTAACACGACAGAAAAACCCTCGAAACATTTCAAAATAAGGAATATTCTTCTTTGAGTGGATATAATGCTTCTGGAATAGAAGGGCTTTTTGATTGTTAGGGAACGTGCCTCATTTTTTGTGTTCTCATTTCTTGATATCTCACAGTGGGATGAGATAGCAGCAAATGCTGAACAACAGGATACTCACTGGTGTGGAAAAACATCAGCATGAGCTGTGCACACACAAGTCAGTGAACCACAGTGAGAACTAGCAGCGCTGTAGTGTCTGTCCTGGGGTGTTCAAGGGTGGAGCTGGGTATGCAGAAATTAAGGTAATTTTACCAGATATCAATTTTACCCCATATCAACAGACTGGCGTGGAGCACTACCTGTGTCAACCTCCTGGGAAGATCCAGGCAGGGTCCCGCAGAGCTCCCTTTAGGCCTGCATAGGGAGTGGCCATGCTTCCAGACTGAGCACTACTGTAGTGGTGACCTCAGAAGTGGAGCAGGTACATGATCTCTGTGGGATAGTGGGGTTGTCAGCTCCTTGATGTGTCCCATGAGGCCATGGAAGAATCTCTTGAATATCGTAAGTAAGGTAGAGACTTTTTGAATAAGATGCAGATTTCTGTCATGCAGAGGGCAGTGGACATCCCCTGACATGACTCTGCGTTCTGCCCCTTGAGGTGTAATGGACACCTGCCTCACTAGCTGCCCCAAAGTGACTTCAGGGACAACATCTTCATAAAGCATGTTTACCGTTTGAGAGACTGAGATACGACTTGTGGCCAGTCTGGAGATTTTGTGGACCTGGGAGCCTCTATGTATTCAGCCAATATTAGTGGGGAGGGAGTGAGACAACTCCAAAGGGGCGAGATCCACACGCCAGCGCTGTACTACGGTGCTCGGAGGCTGAAGTGAGCGAGGGCACAGCCACTGCCAAACGCTGCGGGCCCAGAACACCCGTCCTGTCGGAGGCGCGGCTGCGGCACTGCCCGTGCCCGGCTCCGCGGGCACTGCGAGCTGGGGCGGGTATGGGGTGGGAGGCAGCGGGACGGGGCCAGTCTGGAATTTCCGTGGTACTGGGAGTCTCTTTTTAATAACCATTCAACATGAGCGGGGAGGGAGTGCGACAACTCCGAAGAGGAGGGACCCACACACCAGTGCTGTACCACGGTGTCCCGCCGCCTTAGGGCGGGGAGCGGTCGCCCCCCCGCCGCCCGCCCGCCGCCCGCGAGGCGCGGCTCCCACGCCACGGGCCGGTTCAGGCAGGGGGTGCCCGGGGGTGGCCGGCGGCGGGAGGGGCGGGCGGCGCGGGGCCGGTGAGGGCCGTGCCGGTGCCCGCCCCGCCGGTGCCCGCCCCGCAGCCGCCGCGGGGGGCGCGCGGCCCCCGTTCCGGGCGGGGCGGAGGCGGCGGCGCGGCGTGCTGCAACCATGGCGACGGCGGCGGGGCCGGCCCGCCCCCCGCGGGGCCGGGCGGCGCGGGATTGGTCGGGGGGCGGGCGTTCGCCCTCTGCCCCCTGACCCTGCGCGGCGGCGGCAGCAGCGGCAGGAGCGGAGGCGGCGGCTGCTGGCGGCCGTTTCCTGGTGGCCTGGCGGCGGCGCGGGAGGGAGGATGCGGCGCAGGTCTCGGCTGCTGCTCTGTTTCGCCTTCCTCTGGGTGCTGGGCATCGCCTACTACATGTACTCGGGCGGCAGCGCCGCGCTGGCCGGCGGCGGCGGGAGGAAGGTGAGAGCTCATCCCGGGGAAGGTGCGCCCGCTCCGTGCCCCGGCGGCGGGGCGGCTCGGGCCGGGCGGGGGCAGCGCTGCCCGGTGCTCGAGGGGCAGTGGAGCAGGGGCGGCGGTGGGGGGGGGGTCTCCTCACCGCCGCTCGCTTTCAGGCGGCGTGAAACTCGCCCGGGCTGCTCCTTCCCCCTTCCCGCCCGCCCTTCCCCAGCCCTCTTCCCGGAGGGAGATGGCTTCTTTGTGGACTTAGACCGGTTTCAGCCCCGTCACGTCGCTCCCTATCCAACTGCGGCCGGCCACGTCCCGGGAACGGGGGAAGTTGGTGTGGGAGGGAAGGGCGGGGGGGCCCCGCCTGTCTCCGCTCCCCGTCTGCCCCTTCCTTCCTTCTTTCCCCCGCCGGAGTCGTTCGAGCTCGTGTTCCCACCTGGAGAACACGCCGAGGATCCGAGCTGCAAACGCATTTTCCCTTTAGATGCACAGCTGTTTCATTTCTCCTTAGCGCTGTGCCTTAAAGATACCGTTTTCTGACCGGTTTTGCAATATTCTGGGAAATAGCTGGATTTGTCACGTTTCATGGCTGTGGCATGGAAGGTCTGTCTCTTTCTTCGTCTTGTAACAGCTCAGTTACTAATATTCAAGAAGTTGCCTGTGGACAGTGGAGGATTAATTTTTCGTTGTTCTGGCCACCAAGTTGTTAAGTAGACTTTTGAATGTGTTGTAGTAATTCAGTGATCAGGAGCACAGCTGGAAGTTGGGCACGTCACAGTTCACGTTTGTGTCAATCAAAACAAGTTGTTGTAGTGTGATGTGGGAAGTGGCGACTTTATCCACTATCTCTGCTTAGAAAAATAAGTGCTTTTTTCTTTAGTGGGCTTCCCCCCCCAAGATTAGCAAATCGAAGAGCTTTTAGAAACTATTGTTTAAACCTTCTGTTTTGGAGTAGAAAAGGTGAAAAAGCATCTCATAATTCTGTCATTTTTCGCAAAAAAAAAAAAAAGGAAATGGGAAGAGGGCAAGTGAACAAAGTGTGCCACAGTTAAATGGTGTTATTCACTAATATAATGGCTGTCTTCTGTTAAATGAAAAGTAGTGTTTCTTAAGTCTGGCTCTGCATAAAAAGAGAAATATTTTCCTGTTGCTTTGATGCAGTTCAGTTCATCAATGTATGTATTCCCTCTAAAAGCCAGCTGATGTTCCTGTGGCAGATCATGGAAGCAAATACTTGGATGGTTACTTGCGTGAGCAAGGGTCTAGATAATGAGTCACTGCTTGCTGATAATTGGCTCTCTGTTCTGATGTGTCCTGTTTTTTATTCTCTCTGTAGCTTAGGAATGAGTTCAACAGCAACTTTTGATGTAATATATTAAAGTAAGTGTTAAGTATGTATTGCCAGCTACAAGCTCTTGGTCCTTCGAAGTAGATACAGTAGCAGAAATAGATCAAGCATGTGATAAAAAGTAAGGCAGTAGCCTAAAGCTGTTCTTGAAGAACGACTAGAGTGTATTTAGAAAGTAAAAGCAATCTTAGGCTGCTGCTGATGTATAATGGGATAAAGAAAAGCTATCAAGGCAAATGTATCTGTAGATAGAGAAATATGTTTTTAACTCTTATGGTCTGTTTCATTTGGAGTTTCCAGACAAATTTGCAATTCTGTTCAATTCATTTTTACTGCTGGGGAAACTGCAGTGTGGGGGTAGTGATTTGCCCAAGGTCACCTAGAAGACTTGATGAGAATTAAATAGGAAAGAAGCCGGTTTTTCTGTCTAAGAGTCTGGTACTTAATCTACTAGAACCTGTTGCTGTTTATTATTGATATTAGTAGCAGTTTTTATTATAGTTTTAAGAGATTAATGATCCTGATACTTGCTTTGGTAGTGTAATTTGGTATCATTCTGCACAAAATTTAGTAAACCTTACTGGTCTGGGTAACTGGTAAAGTTTAGTGAAGGTAATTTAAAGAAAATGATATTTTGGAGACCTGAGCTGAACCTCAGTGTTCAGTTCAAAAATGAGAAAGTTTAAGACTGTGGTAACGAAGAAAATAGGTACTGTGGCCACAAGTAACAAGTGGGGAAATTAATTATTATATGTGGATTGGTGATTTAGGATTCTATTTTCTGTCAGTGAAGCGTAAAATTTAATCCTGGGCTTCAGCACAGGTTAGCAAGTGTATGTAGAAGACGATGTGTGTAATGTAATAGCTTTTGAATCAGAATAAAAGGCTTATTAACTTAGTGTCAGACACTGGTGTAAAGCAAAAAACACAAACTGTCTTAAACTTATGAGCAGAAACCCTGCTGTTGTAAATTTCTTGATGTGTATGACTTCATGTAGTCCTTATTACTTGCCCAGTATTTCAGTATAATGGAAACAGAAATTGCTTACAGAAGAACATAACTTTTAATAAATTGAAGTCTCTCCCGTGTTCAGTCTGTAAAATTACAAAAGCCAGGAGGGGATAGTTCTTCATTTGTGCGAGTAAGTAATTTACATGTTAATTACAGATCTAGTTATACAAACACAATGTTTTTTCATAAGGATGATCTTTTTTTTTTTTCTGATACACAGACCTAGTGTGTTCTCCAGACATACTGGACTTGTTTGATATGGCACTGAGTCCTGTGGTGTGTTGAACACCACCAATTCCCTTTTTCTTCAGTAGAGTTGAAGGTGTTTGCCCTTTGCCAGGATTGTACCTGAGTAAGAGAAAGGAGTGATTTTTTTTTTTTTTTTTCCTTTTGCTTTTCTTATTAGAGTAGTGTCAGAGTTAATCTAAGCTTCTACTTATTTTGGTTCTCCATTTACAACCTTTCTAATGAGATCTGTGAAGCTATTTGGATGTTGCATTGTGTGGTACAGCCTTGATAAAGTTTTTAGCCCCTGTCAGCAGTGGCGAAGTCCTCAGCTCTGTGTGCCGTGCTTTGACCTGGTAGGAGCTGAGCAGGCATGAAAGGGTCTAAAACACACAGGGAAGAACCTGTGTCGTTGGTAAATGTTTAAATAATAATAACAAAAAAAAAGGATGAAGGTGCAATGCTTCATTCTGTACCCAGGTGTAAAAACTGTAGTAGAAAGAGGTGATATCTTCCACGCCAGGAATTTAGGGTGTGACAAGCTTTTTTTTTTTTCACTCTTTCCATTTCTTCTTGAGAAGAAGAAAAGGGTAGAATCACAGCCTGTCATTCCAAATGTGCTTGAAGGGCACAGAAATGTCTTTTTTTTTTTTTTTTTCCCCCCTTCTCCAATGAACCTCCAGTAAAATTATTGTAAACATGAGAGAGCCATGTTCAGTTCAATCCTTTTCCAACTGGGTCACTGGGTTGTAGATTGGAAAGAGTGAGTCTGATTCACATGTCTAAAGGTTAGAGAAATAGTTCTTACACAGATGGTGCGACATAGAAGAGAGCAAGCCCAACAGTTAGGAGACTGAAAAAAGTGTGGGCTACTTTTGTGTTCACTTAATGTGTTTTATATTAAAAAGCCTTTGTAGTGGAGACTGGAAGCTCCCTTCTTTTCATGGATAAATTTCCTAACCTATAGCAGAAATGGTTCATGCTCTCTGCCTCAGACTTGCATGAAAATGGAGCAACTTCTGCAAGATGGTTAGGAAGCCAAAGTCATCCTGATGGTGTGATCCCCTCCTAAGACTGGTGTGAATTTGAATTTGTGTATTGTCACACGGATTTTGAGTTCTTGAACCACTAAGCTCTTGCACAATAGAGTGACTGAATTAAAATAAAAAAAGAAACGTAAAAAAGAAAAATCAAAATCCACACCAAACCCAGCCAAACCCCCCAGCTGGTTTCTAAAGAACTCACTCTTCTGGGCATTAAGAAAGTAGCCCCATGTAATTGAGCCCTTCAGGCTGGACAGAGGAATGTCTGCGTCTCGTTGAAAATGCCAAATACTTTGCTGCTGCCAAGACTGAAATCCTCTGAGGCCTTCTCAGAAGGAGACCTGTAGGCAGAATGGGGATTTACCATTGAAAGCTGAGGCATCAAGAGAGGCCTGCTAGGTTAAGCCACATCTGAATCAAGGTTAGGAGCCTTCTGGATTTAAGAACCAGAGTCCTGACAAGCTTTTGTGTTTGTTGCCATGTAAAGAATGTCAGTTGTTTTTAAGTTGAACCTCTTGTCACCTCCCACCCTATCTAGAGGAGGAGGCTAAAAACAATATTTCGGTAATAAGTGCTGGATAGCTTTTACCAATACTTCCTAAAATTAGAAACATCTTTCTTGTTTCATCAACTAGAAACCTGTTACTTTCTTGGCTCACCGGATTTACTGGATGTAATGGAGCGAATTGGAGAAATCTAATTTATGGCTAGTTGAGCCACAAGGAGGCAGGCTTTTCCTGTGGAACGGGTTAATACCCTGTACCTAGTGCTGGTTTTTCTTTCCATATTCTGGTTTTGTTTATTTAGACCTTTTTCTTTATCTTGAAGCAGACTTTTGATCGGTGACTGTACTGTGGAGCTAGCTGAGGTGAAATAAAGCCAAAGGTAAAAGGTGATGCTTTGTCTCAAGTATGTCACTCAATCACTTTAAGTAGGGAAAAAAGAAACAAGTCTTGTGAGTTCTTGTTCTATAAAGATAAAACTTTAGAAAAACTCCATTCAGCATACACAAATCTTTCTTCCCCTCCTTTTTTTTTTGAACCCCTGTACTATTTCAGTTACTATTAAATGAGGCTCTTATTGCCATTATACATAATGTCATGTATAGAGCTCTTACTCTCTTTCTACTTAGAGTGTTAGTGTACCTAAGTTTATTTTTGAAGGTTTAAGTAAGGAGGAGAGGAAATACATCTTAACTTTAGATTCATTAATCTGTTTCTGTCAGAGAATGAAATTGTGGAGTGCAACTTGAGTGTCTCTCTCTCTCAGTATGGGAAGTAGAGCTTTTTTCAAGGGGGTTATAAGTAACCTCTCCAATTCTGTTGGCTTCTTTCATCTGAGGAAGGCATTGCCTGTTTTAATTTCTAAATATTAAGTTTACTTTACT